CTTAGTGCAAGAAATACTAAGCCATAAGAATTTGCAAGATTGACTTACAGTGGCCTCCAACAGAGTCAAGGGTGGAAGAGTGCAAAAAGGTCTGTCTGCACACTGGAGATCCGAAGGATCCTGTCAAAAGCTTGGAGCTCAGTGTAGTGACCCATGTGACTACATATCAGGCGGCCACAGGTCTATGGTAGAAGGCTGAAGATTCTTCCCTGGAAGCCAGGAGATGACATCCAAGGTGAAGGCAAAGACTAGAGCTCCTCCAAAGAAACAGAAGTGAGACTTCCTTGTTTATTTCCCTTTTATACCATTCAGGCTACAAGCCCACCCACAGTGGGTCTTCCACACCCAGAACTACGCTGAGCCAATTTAGTTGGGTGTAACCTACTCAGGTTGACACCATCATTTAACTCTCACAGTCCTCCAACTTTGTTCTCCTTCAGTATTGTGTTGGCTGGCTGTGTCCTTTGTCTCTCTCTATACTCCTTACAATCAGATTGTTGATGCTGGGATTGTGCAGAAATTACAGATCTTGAGAGGCCTCAAGAAGACACTGAAGTTATCAAAACAATGCCTGGAATACATTAGAGATTTAATGAGTATTTGTTTTTTCTTGCACTAAAAAACAGAATTTTGGAATTAAAATATTCTTGTGTCAGGTCAGTAAAGTCCAGCATAAGACATTCTTTAGGCTATCTCTAATCCTTACCAAATATAAAAAGAGTAATCTTTACCTCTCCACTGATTTTCTAGGGACAGATTATCAGAAATAATTTCTTAAACATACCCATAAATCTTGTTTCCTAATCTGGTGTCTTCAAAACTCGGAATTGTAAATAGTATAAATGAATCCTAGGCAGGTATGGTCCACACACCTGTAATCCTAGTGCTTGGGAGCTGATGCATGAGGATTATCTCGAGTTACCAGCCAACCCGGGATACACAGTGAGTTGAAGGCCAGCCTGAGCTACACGGTGAGACCCTGTCTCAAGGAGAAGAAGAGGAAGGGGAAGGGAAAGGAGAAGGAAAAGAAGAAACAACTAACTGTAGGGTCCCCAATTTAGTTGACTTTTTCTTATTTTATTTTGCAGATAGGCATCTTTTTCTTAACTATTTAACGGAGAAGTTAGAAGGAAGACTCTTGTGCTGCTGCTGCTTTCTTGGATGTTTGGCCTCTTTTCATGATGTTGCCCCTTGTGCAAAGATTTTCAGTTCTATTTTGCATAACAACAAATCAGCAGCCTAAACATCACAGACGATAAAATCCCAATAATGTATTTTCAACCAATCCAAAGCATTCCACGTTTCCCCCTTTAACTGATATGCTCTCCTTTTATTATAAAAACACAAAATTTTACTTAATTCAGTAAACTATTTGACTTTTCGTGTATGTGATGATTAATTTTGGTTGTCAGTTTGCCTAGAAAATTGCAGGGATGCCTAGAAAATTGGTAAAGCACATTTCTGGGTGTGTCTGAGGGGGTGTTTCCAAAGAAGATGGACAGGTGGGGCAGGGGACTGAGTCAGGAAAACACAACCTGAAAGCGTGCAGCAATGTCCCAGGTAAAGGCTGGAGGCCTGGAAGGAATAGAAAGGCAGAGGACAGAGGAGCTCACAAATACTCGTGCTCTACCCTTCTGGAGCGGCTGTGTATTTCTTGATGCTCCTGTCTTCTGTGAACTGCAGATTCTTCCACTTTCCAATGTATTCTTGTGTCAGTGACTCTTACAGGGGCTTTCGGAGCGTCAGCCTTGGACCAGGCCTGCATCCTTGGTCCCTCTTTTACTGAGGTCTCCAGCTTCTTGGCCCAAGCAGCTACTGGATTTCCCTGCTGGGCCAGCTTGTAGCAGCCATTGCAATCTTTCAAAGCGTGTGGATTCTACCACATTCACCAAACAGATATCATTTGACATGGAGTAACAGCTACTTCAGTTAATATTCTCTCCATAGCCTGACCCTCGGATCTTTGGGGATTTTTATCTAGTTTCAGGATAATCTCCTCACCAAAGTTATAGCTCTGAGAAAACCATCATTCTTTCAAATGTAATTTTATCTAGAAAGGTAAATGGCAAGGGAAAAGAGAAGCAAGATGACCATAGTGAGCTGCTGTTTTCTAGGCTAAATTCTGGGAATAAAAAGAACTGGGCAATTAGACTCCAGTGTAGTGCTTGCCCTGAATGCTAATTTTGGCACAAGAATGTCAAGCACAAATCAGCTTTTCCCCTCTGACATCGTATGTCAAAGGAAATGACATTGTTTGGCCAAACTATTAATCTCAAAAGCACACTTTACCGTTGAAGAGCAGAGATCTGTAACCTACATGTAATTTCCTGGAACAATACTCTTATTTTAAAATAACAGTGGTTTGGACATAAGGCAAGCTTCAACTTTGAAATGCTGTGAGGTGAAGAGCGTGTGACTTAAACCCATCAGTAAATGGAAAGATAGGAAGTAGCTATGTGGGGATGAATTATGTTTGCAATAGCCATGCTCTGTGCCTGGATGTATTTACAGAAAAATAAATATAGTATTTATATAAAAAACAAAGCATTTAAAAATTTCTACCATATTCATTTATAAACGTGATAATCATCTAAAGACATTCAGAAAGTATAGAAAATTATTCAGCAAAAGTCACTCAACTAGAACTCCACGTTGTATTTTTTTAGGTGCACTTTTGAAACTATAATATGCAGTAGAAATTATTTCAAATCATTCTTTTTATTGTTAACATTGCAAAATAAGTGCTATAGTACTATAAGTCTAGTGTTCTTAAAACCCAGTAAAACTGCTTCATCATAACTTATTAGGTAAATATGTATCATAATTCACTTAGCCATTTAGGAACTGAGTTCTGCGTGTTCAATTTGATCAGCTTTATTCATCAGTATTTGTAAAGTATTACATACACACATAATGTACAGAAATGAATGATCCCTGTTAAAGTTTGGGTCTAGATGTCTCCCTAGAGCTTCATGCAGTCATAGGTGGGGCTTTTTCAGAGGTGGCTGAATCTAGAGTGTGTGACTCTGGCAATATGGGTGTGTGATTACTAAACAAGTCCACTGATCAGTTTGGCACCATCCTAATCCTGGTAGCCTGGATACACTACAAAGGACAGAAAGAGGCTTGTCTTGTCCTTTATTGGTTTGCTACCTTCTGCCCACCATAAACTTAATCCACAGAGATGACCCTCTGCCAAACTAACCCATCTTAAAGCCAGCCAATTATTGACTGCCTCTATAAACTGTGAGCTGCATAAAAACCTTTCCTCCCTTAACTTGTGGGTTTGGGGTATTTTGTCTCAGCAACGAGAAAAGTAACGAAGACAGTCCCTGTCCTATTTAACTAGGAAAAGAGGACTGTAATACACTCAGAATGCAATTTCATAAAGGCAAATGCTGGTTGAGATGGAAGCAGTTTTGTTCAGGTAAACTACTAACATCATGGACAGTGCCCTAAAGAAGTTTTCAGAGAAGTACAGAAAAATGTATATCAGAATAAAAGGAAAAAAGAAAGAACTCACATTCTTTTGTCTTCTAGTATTTCCCTCCATTATCATTTACATTAGGTATGGAATTACCCTAAAATTTTTGGCCTGTTTTACTAGCAAAAATGGAGCCCACTAAGAAGTGCATGGTGATACACTCCTGCTATCTAGGAGGCTGAGGCATGAGGATGAAAAGTTCAAGTCCAGCTTGGGAAATTTAGCAAAACCCTGACTCCAGAAAAAAAAATGGGGCTAGGGATGTAGTTCTGTGATAGAGCACCTCTGGGTACTATTCCTAGTGACGCCAAAGGAAAGGAAGGGAGGAAGGGAGGGAGGGAAGGAGGGAAGGAGGGAAGGAAGGAAGGAGGGAAGGGAAAGAAGAGAGAGAGAGAGAAGAATCTTATTGGTTAATATATATTTCCTTGGTTGCTGATCAATTTGAATATTTTATACGGATTTTGACACTTCAAAAATTATCTTCCATTTTCTTTTACCTCTAATAGAGTTTTGGCATAACTCATAATATATGCCTATTTATTATGATTTCTGACTACAATGCAATGTTTTGCAAATATTTTACCAGCTTGCCTTTTATTTTTGCATATAGCATGTTTTGATATGCAAGAATTTTGAATCATTAAATAGTCCATTGATTTATTTTTTAGAAGTCACTTCTTCCACAAGTCAGCTAATTGTTATGTTGCTTCTTTTAGACTTTAAACTCTTTTTCAATATTTAACGATTTAGATTTGAGGCCTGTTTGGGTTTCTTATGCATTTCAGCATTTTTAAAACTATTGTTATCTTTGTAAAGTATGATAAAAAATACAACGAATGCCAAGTGTCACCCAATGGAAAGGCAGGCTCATAAAAACGTCACAGAGTCCTCATCCACCTTTTTCACCTGATCTGCCACTGCATAACTTTTGGCTCTTTCCCAGAGTCAAAATGACCGTAAAAAGTAACATTTGGAATCTATTCAGGCCATGGAAGCAGCCAAAACAGTTCAAGTCTTCAAGAAAGAGAGCTTTCAGAACTGCTTCAGAAAACTGGAAGATGGGATAAGGGTGTTCAGAGTAAGGGGGAGGATTTTGAAGGGGATTTGTGGCAATGTGCTTAGTTACTTAAACTACTGAGTCTGTAGAAAAAGGAGTCACAGCTGACCCAAGTATACACTGGAAAGGTGATGGGGAAACTGCACAAAAGTGTAATTATGAAAATGTTCAGGAATTTACTTTTGCATGTGTTGGTGAAGTCCAAGATGCTAATTTGACATCTAAAGTAAAAATGCCAAAGGCACGGTTGAATATACACACCTGAAGTTCTGGGAATGGTTGGAAACTGGAGATAGAAATTTTGTAATCATTGGTGGTCATTAAAACCACGAAAACGGATAAGAGCACCTCCTAAGTAAATACAGAGGAAAATACAGACAGTACAATACTGTGCTGTGCTGCCCTATTCCAACTCCTGCCTCTAGAGCGCCCCCCGCCCCCCAGGGTAGGAAGAAGGAAATGCCCAGCGCAAGGCGCTGTACAGGAGACCGGATCAAGGTCTTATCGCCACTCCTCGCCCACCCAGGACAAAGAATCATGAAGCTACAGTGCACGGTTCTTATGCCCCGCTTTCCTCAAGTCAGATTTTTGGAAAGCTCAGACGCTCAACACGTAAGGCAGCCCAAAAAAAGATGTCGGTCCACCCAACCAAAAGGTGGCGCTGTGAGCTACCACCAGTTCGCCCAAGCCGTCCACTTTCCCCGACCAGGCTGCACCTTCTCCCTCTGAGCTGCAGAGGACGCGAGCGAGGCGCAGGGTGCTCTGGACCCCAGGGGAGATGGATTCCCCGAGGGGCGCGGCCTGCGTGAGGGGCGGGCCCTGCGTGAGGGGCGGGGCTGCCGGGAGC